CTTTCGAAGAACTCGGCCGGCTGCGACTCAAAGTAGTTGGACACCCAGAGTTGGACTTCTTCGCGTTTGTGAACTTCTCTCGGCCAGGAGTGCTGCATCGACCGGAACAGATGGTAATCGGATGGTGCCAGGTCTGGGCTGTATGGCGGATGAGGCAGGACTTCCCAGCCCAATTCCTCAATTTTTTCCAAAGTGATTTTCGCGACATGTGGCGTACCACATGCACTCGCACACTTGACGTACCACATGCAAGCTCGCATTCGAAATTTTTGGTCAAGCATTTCCCTTTTTTCTTAAAAAAACAAAGTAGACATAGACAAAAATATATCAAAAGATGCACAATAAAAATCTCTTTCTAATAGACAAAACTGTTTTAAAAAATCTTCTATAGTAGGAGAGAAATAAATGGACAAATTCAACGCGCATTTCTTTCCGAACAACCTAATATTAGAACCTGTGCAGCTTTCCTTCCACAGCCTTGGTTGCTCGATGTTTCGTCCATTGCAGTACAGTTACGTCCCCTGTGAATGTGTACTGAGTGCCATTCAGCGGCAAGAGAAAGCACAAAGTGTCATTGTGTTGAAAATTCCAGGACGACTAAATTGCAATGGGCAGCTGTTGCCACAGTTAAGATCTATTTTCCTCGCTCTAATACCAAAAGCACGTCCCAGCGCCAACCATCTGTTTTCTCTTGGTCGAATAGAACTATTAACATTTTTGTTAATTAAGCTGTGATCCGCATGCTGGGGCGTCTTTGCTCACCAACATGCTCTGCCGCAGTTTCCCTAACGATTCGGAGCTGCTCTGTGCCTGCAGAAAAGACATTGGAGGCAGTAGCAGTCGATGTTGAGGGAGGTGGACCTCGGCTTGATATTTCGGGGTAAGCCGCTTGTATTAAAAACGGGTTAAACAAGTAAAGGGGATGCGGACTTAATCCATCCTGTTGCAGTCTCAAGCCCCGACATCGTGTGATCGCAGCTGGCGGTATGCCGCCGCTCGAATTCGAGTGGGAACGCAAGCGAAGCGCTCAGCGAGAACGCTTTGGCACCTACGGCTTAAAAAGTGGAGTTGATCCATCGATTTGCTGGCCTACAGTCGAGGTAATTATAAAGGCGTATCCTCAAAAAATTTCAAATATGACTACATTTTCTTAAGGAAATTGAGGAGGAACAGGCAGTAGGTCTCTATCGTGAGTACGACACATGCGTTAGGGAAATGAAAGCACTGAAGCAAAAGAAGGCTGCCAAAGAGGCTGCAAGGATAGCAGAATTGGAGAAGAATCTCAAAAAGTATCCAGAAGTACTTGCCAAGTACGAGGCTTCACAAGTTAAGGCCGAAAAGGAGCGTGATGAGAAGGAGATAGCGTTGGAGAATCGAATACGGTTGGTTGGATTCCTCTGTTTAGTTTCACTTGGCAGTCTGATATATTAGGTTGCTTTTTTCATTATTTATTTATTCGTTGTTCAATAACAATGTTGAGAATCATAAGAAAGGATCATTAATGTTGCGCGCTATTATTAAGTAGGATTACTTAATTTTTTATATTTTCTTTGTTGACAAGTTCTCTAAGGCTGCACTCATAGTTTTCGTCATGTTTTAAGCTATCAAGCTTTTACACAAAAGGAAAGTGTAGGAAGCGATCTAGCGTTCTGGGAGAAACGCCGCCGTTTTGAGAGAAAAGAAAGATTAGTAGGCTCAAGAGTTTCGAGCGTTATGAGTAAAAGGCTTGAAAAGCTCAAAGCGCCGACGAAAGTATGAATACAGCCCAGTAAATTCCTCCCAAATCTGCTTCTCTTGCAAATTTTGGTGCGATGCGATCCGTGGTTCCCAAATAAATTTGCTCTGCGTGGAAACGGGAGAATTTGCACTTCCTCCTCTATTTCACCCTATACTTTTGATCTTTTCCTCACATGCGGACGTCTTTTGGAACTTTGATTTCGGTAAGATAAAGAATTTAATTCCCTCCTTCAGCACGACCATCATAAATTTAGTTTTATGATTCTTATGCCGAACAATCTCGCGTTTTCAACAATAGGAGGTCTAAGCTCTGATTTTTATGAAAACGGCAGCTCGCTATTTCATACGATTACGGGACTAAAGTTCGAAAATGCAAAATTTTTTAAATGGTCAGATGGAACGTGAAGAATGAGGAGAGACTTTGTAGAATGTCTCTCTTGTTGGTTGAAAATATGAGCTACATTCATTGGAAATATACTCTAGTTCGCTGCGGACGGTTGGGCGTGTCAGGCAGTATGAGTGTGTCACCCCGTCAAAGCCGTTCTCTGCCTTCTTGTTGAAGCGCGCATGCGACAAAAAGTGGTAGAAAACGAGTAATACGAAGCCCGCTTCAACAACTGGTGGAGAACGAGTTTGGCACCGCGCCAAACGCAGCTGCACTGACACGCCCAACCGTCCGCAGCGAACTACATTATACGTGCTTTGTATGCTGTGAAGAAGTTTAGTATGGAATAAGATATTATCTAATCTCCAAATAATAAGGTTGCACAGCTCAGCACGGCGACTTTTTTGAGCTCGCATAGCATATTGATAGTAAATTGAGGGTTAGGCCCCAATATCTGTAAATACGGGTGGAGACATTTCGAACCTTAACAATTATCATTGATTTCAGTTTCTCTATGTCTTTATACCCATTGCTGAGTGCTCCTAGTGCTTTCTATTTACAGAGAGATACAGGAATACTTCGGCTATTGGATGGACCCGAAAGACCCACGATTTGAAGTTATGCTTCAGCAAAAGGAACAAGAGGAGAAAAAGGTAACGTTTTCTCCTGTCCTCCGGTAACATGTGATGACGAAACCCCTTGCTGCCTTAGTATTCCTTCCGTTAATTTGTTGTAGTCTTTGGTTTGCTAGTTGTTGATATTGTGATGTAGTAGTGGGGCATTACGTTTTAGTACCATGAGAAATACTATTAAACGATTCTCCTGACCAATTTGAACATTTTTCGTATTTCAGGCAGCGAAGCTTGCGAAAAGAGCAGAGATGCAGAAAAAGAAGATTGCGGAAATAGTCTGATGTTATTTAGTTGTTAGTAGTTGAGTGTATTTACTTAAGACAAATCTGTTTTGCTGTTAAATTTGCTTCTTGTTTGTGATTTTTGATGTGAATAAATTCTATGTGCCCGTAAATGTTCTGTTTTCATGGGTCACGAACGCCTAAATATCACTAAAACCTCGCTTTGCTACCTTTTCGCTTCCTCGTTACTATTTCCGAAATAACTTAGATGAGAATTGTAGTGGTTTTCAGATGACAGATGTGACGATGAGTCAGGTAGAGCCAGCGGCTGTTCCATGTTCTACAAAAAAGCCAGCGGTACCGTCAGTAGAGTGCAGTTTGCATCCATTAGTCATTATAAACATGTCCGAGCACTGGACGAGGATGCGAGCACAAAGTCGGGACAAAACTGCTCAGAAGGTTAGGAAACAACTGATCAATAGCTTTTTCTGCAAGGTAGACATCTAGTCAGTGGATGTTACGGGCTTGTTTCATAAGGGTTATTTTTCCATACGATCTGGCTTACCACAAACAAGGTAACTACTCAAGCGAGCCCTTTTCACTAGAACATTTTTTGAAAGATTAGCATGACTTTCAAGGAAGAAGATCGCTCTCGGTAACTCCTTGCAGTGTTTCAGGATATTTGTCAACCGCAAAACCCCCTCCTCCTCTTTTTTGTGACCCTCCTTGCGGTGAACTGCCACGTTTCGAAGGAAGTGGGAGCTGATGCTACTAGTCAGGCGTAACTGAGGAGGCAACCGCATTTCATGGCTATGACATTGACCAAACGAGGGAGCTGAGGGAAGCGTGGGTTATGCTAAGTTAGGAATAAAACTAAGGTAGCCTGAACATAACGTTCGCTCGCAGGGCGCAACTCTGAAATAGTAGTTGTACACTGGTTCCGGGGGAGGGCAGCAACTAGGGCAAGTTGGGGTGTGGGGAGGCGTACAAAAATCAACGATTCATATAGCGTGTGTGAAACGAAAATTCAAGGGTCAAAAGAAGTTTCTCATGCCAAATACTTCGCTCCTCACCGGCGGCCAGGTACAATCCCTTGGTGGGATTCTTCAACTGTATTGTACCCTGATCGGTATGCAGCAACTCTAAGTTATCCCAAGAAAGAAGAACGCTCGGTATAGGGAATGTAGATAAAATTAATGTGGTATGCTGTATGAAGTGATTTTCTTAAAGCCTTAACAAATGAGTTGCTTTATAGTTCGTGATCTAGGTGTTTGGAGCTGTCTTGGGCAAGGTCGACGAGGGCCACGTTGAAATGGTCAATTCATTCGAGTTGCGAATGTTTACGCTTGATGGACATGTTAGGTTTAATGAAGAATTTTTACGTCAAAGGCTCAGCCAGTATAAAGAGGTCAGTTTCTGTCATCTTCCCTCAGCTTTTGAAATTACCTTGATTTTTTTTCATTTTTCGAAGAACAAACCAGGCAAACTGATACTGCTGAAGAAAGAATGTGCAGATGAAGTAGCAGCCAAATGCGAATTTTCCTTCCGAACGTGTGTTCATACATTTCTTCGGCGTTGTGAGCATGCTGAGCGAAAAAGTATAGTTCCAATCTTTAGCTCTGGATCGACCTATAACTTCTCTTCACTCAAAACCGTGGCCTTTCTCCAAAAAAAAAAACGAAACGCCTAAAACTTCACCGAAAAGTATGAACGCAGCCACACCCACACCGGTTGGGGGATTCTCTTCAAGTGGAATAAGATTTTCTCACCTCTCAAATATGTACTTACAAACACGCACACACCAACAGACAAACTTAGCGATGTATATATAGTAGCCAGTCGGATCACCCGGCCGCCGGGTACTCCTTCTTCTATTTCACGGCCCGGCTTCGCCGGGCTGACCTGGCTTTGCCAGGTACTCTTCCCTTGGGCGAGGTAGAATTCGCTGTGCCAAGTGTGCTAAATGTGCCAAGTGGTGGCAGTTATTCTTTTATCGAAATGTAGGTAAATGAGTTGAAAAGAGCTCAACATTAGTCATTATCTACCAACATCTGGTCTTTAGCCCAATCATGACAATGTCCGCCACTGGATGGACACCGAAATGTCCACTTCGGACCATGTCCACCATATGTGGCGGACGGGCTTTTGATGAAATTTTTAGAAACAGTTCGAGTTCTTCGAGGAACTTTTCCCAGTGGTACAAGTCTTCATACCTTTGTTAATTTATGCAAATAGTGGACCAACGAGATCTTCAGATATAAGGGTCCCAGGCACGATTCAACTAGCAGCACCTGAGCCCAAAACCTCTAGAAAAATTTCTGCTGAAAAATTGCCGGTAGGGGTTACTCAGTGCCCGATCATGAATGTGACGTCCGGTTCTGGCACCGGCAGTGTTTGACGCCATTTGGACCACTTTTTTCATCAAAATCGGGGCGCCAGAATGGTGCCGCACCAACTCACCACTACCTTTTTTCACCAAACTTCAGGAAAAGTTACATACTAGGGCTTTTTGTTGGTCTGGTCACGAATATGACGTTCACTAAAGGTCCCAGCGCCAACTGGCGCCAATTTGGTGCTATCACCTCTTCCACCCAAATTGATGGGAACTTGGATACTAGGGTTATTCGCTGTCCTTATTATTGATATGACATTCATTTTTAGCAGGAACGTTAGCGTAGGGCACAAGGGTTATCAATGCGATGCTGAGGCTGAGCTTGCCTTAGGAGGAGGGAATCACTCCTCCTCCAAGCTACAGCCTTTTCAGAGCGCTACATGGCGCTCATGCCATGTAGCGCTCTGCAAAGATAAAAACCAATGTCTTATTTGTGATCGGGCTTCCCCCCCCCATTGAGCTCGAATGCAGAACAGCTGCGACTTTAGCGAAAAAAGGCGACGGCGAGTGCAGGTGGATCCTAGCGCCGAATAGCGCCGGTGAAAAAACTATAGGCACTGTCAACCCTTTACTGCCTCAGACATCCGGAACCAAGCCAACTTTCGACCAACTTTCTTTCTTTGTGGACAGACTTGGCTTAGCAGTCGTTTCCTGAGTTGGTTTGACCTTTTGAACACGAGTACCACTTTCGCTCGGCTCAAACCTCCTTGCCACCAGGATTTTGAGCCACCTCAATATGTCAAATCACCTCAATATGCAAGCTTACACTGGTTTTGAGGAAAAGACTATAGCACTAAATTAGCGCACATTGGCGCCAAATGGCACCGGAGGACAGACGAATGTCATTTTTGTGACCTGAGGAATAACCCCTGCACTCGATGGTTCAGTAAAAAAGGAGATTTCGGGAGCAGAAAGTTGAACAGTGCTAAAATTTTTAGTAAGGGGTCACGAGGGACCGTGTCCACCACTGGTGGCGGACACTTGCTGAGAGCTCGCAAATGCTCCGGTCCGAACGAGCCGTTTTCGAATAACGCGCTTGTTCGCGAATGGGTTAACACGTTGACGGCGATGGCAGACAATTTTGGCTGACAGCTCTTTCTCGTGGAACTATGGCATTCAGTGGTGTCTGCCACTATAATAATAATGATGTACATACAGCCAAGTTTGCTGGAAACGTATCCCTAGGGGTAGCTTGTCCCTCTGAAACGAATACCACAGTCGCTTGGCACGAACTGCCTGGCGCCCGCGCCACAGGCGCCGGCGCCAAAATGTCCTAAATCACCAAATTCCCTGAAAACTTGTCCCTACCGGTAGTTCGACCCCCTGAACAAAATATCATGTCCACTTAACGCGTTGACGACGATTTCCGTCAATGGTGGACGACAGTCAGTTTGTCTTGTGGAACGGCGTCATCCAGTCCGACAGTTACTATATAATACAAAACGGCGCAAATTTTCACTTTCTTTCCATAATTCAAGGATAAACATTTTCGGGCCAAGGGGATGCGATAGTGATTGTGGAAATCAAACTACCCCGGGAGACAATTTTCAGTCAAATTTGCCTCCAGAGGAAGAAGTTGGTAAAAATGGCCTGATTTTGGAAGATTGGAGCAATAAAAGCTAAATTGTGTCAAAGATTCGAGATTGTATACTCGTCTCTTGCGTTTCTCGATACATTTTGATCATTTGTTTGGAATTACTAAGTTTCAATGCAGAAAAATGTGCCGTCCGCGCAGATTGTGAGAAAAAAATGGCTCGTCGTCAACATGTTAAGGACCGCAATTGCAACATCAGAATGGGTAAAGCTGAATTAGTCCGGATGAGTCCTCAACATTCCGGAAGAGGCATAACTGCAGAGTCATGGGTGGCACTGAAAAGGAGAACTCTACATTGCTTGTATCAAAGTGTGTGTCGCACGGAGAGCTCGAATATAACCACAGACAGGACGTTCCCACTCCGTCGGGTTGCTTATTGTTGGGTTCTCTCCCTAGTGCAACTGCCACATAGGAGGCAGTTTTGCGAAATTTTTTTTTGATTGAACGTGCGCCTCGCTGATGCTGTCATCCGCGTTATGAATATGGTAACCTTCTCCTTCTAACGCCCCTTATCGAATCTTATCAGCAGCTTACAGTTCTTGTCACCCACCAATAATGTTCTTGGCCCATACCCTATATCATATCTTGGAATCAAGAGCTAGCTGATGCTGTCACCCGCGTTATGAATATGGTGACCTGCCCCTTCTGAAGGCTCTTATCAGATTATTAACTGTGTCACCCACCAATAGTGTTCCCGTCACACCCCCTACATCACTTCTTGGAACCAATGTCTCACTGCTACTGGGACCGGCGCTATGAATTTCGTGACAACAGACAGACGCACACACACACACACACACACACACACACACACACACACACACACACACACACACACACACACACACACACACACACACACACTGACAGACATACTTAACGAATTATACATATCGGAGTATGGTGCTGTCCCGGAGTCTCATTACTCATCTGAATGTGTATTAACAATGTGAAACTCCAAAAGTTTATTCCAAAAAACTCAAAAGACAGCAAAAGTCTCAAAAGTTTTTTAAAATATATCTTATCTGGCTATATTTGTGAATTACACATAGTAGGATGCTTCTTACTTCCATCGTTTCTTATAGGTTTTCCCTGAACTAGAAGCTGTCGGTTGGTATTGTACGGGTCAGGATGGTTTGGAACAAGACGAAATCTTGTTACAAACTCTCTTTGCTGTAGCTATTGACTCCCCATTGCTCGTGAAATTGAACCCAGCTATAGATTCACAGGCAAAAAGGTAGGAATTCTCGTGGTAGTCGCTTCTAATTTTTAGTTTTCGATGCAATTTTTACAGGAAAGTCCCAGTGAAAGTGTACTACAGTCGAGAAACGCCTCTTGTTTCGTCAGGACATGAGCTTGTTGAAGTTGATTGGACTCTGATTTCTGAACAAAGCGAAAGGATAGGAATAGATCATATTGCACGATTGTCGCAAGTGAGCTCATCGTACGCTTTTCACATAGGAAAGGTCCTTGTTCTCAAGCTACGCATATGGTCGGATTGTATTTTGAAAGGAATTCGACCATATAGGCATAGCTTGTCACCAACCGACCATCCCTATCTTTCACTCCGCTTTACTCTTTTTTTACAGCACGTTGACCGCTTTAAGTTTCGGCTACATTTGTCAGTGTGGACGAGGTTCAAAATAATTGTTCACTTCTAGGCAGGTGATGACGGAGCTGTTTCCATCGAAGGCAAGCAAATGCGAGCCGCTAGTTCAGCTGTGGGAATGTTGTTGGATAGAATAGAGATTATTTGCAATTACCTCAAAGGAGTGGGAGAGGGTAGATTCCCTCCGAATGATGAGATTATTAGAGAGGCAAATAAGGTGATTGCTGGTTTGAGCTGATCATCTCCACTTTTTGCCCTGCACTTTTCATGCCTTTTTCATCCACCCCTTGATTTATGGGTTTCTATTTCAAGATCTGTCAACGTCTTCCGCTTCTGAAGCCTGCCGATTTTGACGAAGGGTTCAAGGCGCAGGAAAGAGATGCACGGGCGGCAATGTTGCTGGCACGAATGACAGAGATATGTGGCACATTGAGTAGTCTTCAGGTAGGCCTATCTTACTGTTTCTTCACATACTTCAAATCGCCTGAGATGCCCAAATATGGTCATACTCTTTAGTGCTGGATGCAGGAAACGCTTTGCAGACCCCGGCCATTCCCCCTCCGTCCGCAAGACCCCCGTATAGTGCTGGTTCCCTCTATCAGAAAGGGTAAATTTGTGCGGGGAATAAAGCCAACATCAATAGAATTTTGCTCAGGTAGTGTACTACCCCACCCCTCTGCCTGCGCCTGAAAGCCCCAACCTAGAGAGTATCCTGCTTTGATATCCCAAAAGCATGCTCGACAGCACCTTAGGTCCACCGCCCAAAAGCATGCTCGACAGCACCTTAGGTCCACCGATTCCAATGAAATTGCAAATATCTGAGTTCTTATTCCGAAAAATAGGTACGGTATCCTGCATTGTCTCAAATATTCATTGCCTGTCACGATGGTAAGTAGCAAGACTTTGAGCCCGATTTTTGCAAAGTGACCAGGTTCATGGGAACAAGTATGTAAACTGTTAAAAATCAGAGGGCTACCATTCTTCACAAGGAAATTGTCCTAAGGTTATGCTTTTGTAGTGCGATAAGAAAAGGGTGGTAATTCAGAGCGTTATCACTTATACGATGGCGCCCGTCAGCAGTTTGTTGAGAATGGCGCTAATGCTTTAGAGACAGTCCATGCTGCTTGGTCCATCGATTTCATCCTCGAAATTGTGTGGTTTAACTCAGTTTTCTGGAGTTTCTTGGCTGCTTTTCCAAGATTAATTCTATCAAAAGCTGCTGGATTTGGGATCACGTGGATGTTTGCTAGACACAAACGCTGTTTTCTCTTTAGCTGACTTTTGGGAATCACATATTTTCAAGATACTATTTCGTCTAAATAATGTCCAGAAATCTTTTTGAAAATCGTTCGAGATGAAAAATGATCTTCCAGACAAAGACGAATATTCTCGGTTCAATTACTGCTTGGCGGAACATTGCTACTGTTCCGACGCAACAGTTGAAGAAAAAGTCTCAACGGGCGACCGCTTCGGCCACCCCTGCAGCGCCTATAGCTGCTGACGTCGGAACAAATCATGTGATGAATCATTCTCCAGACGTCGATTGACGTACGACGTTGAGGTAAACTTTCGGTAGAGACAAGAATCAGCTTGATACCTCAAATTTGGTCATTGATTTTGCCAAGATGACCCGCCCATCAACTCCTTCGAGCAAAAATGCATTTTCATCTTCCGCTTGCGTACTGCATGTTACATTACAATTTTCGCCTTTTTTCAATGACATAATTTCAGGCATTCATGTGAATTTGTGCTCGCCGTTCGGTGGTTCAACGTAGATTTCCCTTCTTTTCTTCTTCCTGAAAAGAACATTGCTAAAACCCATCGTTTTGCTTACCACTCGTTAACGGCAAGGCTCAAACGTCGGTATGAGGTCGGCACTGCATACGCTATTCCTCGATGTCTGTTCACTCTTCAAAGATTCATTATGAATTTCTTGGTCGTTTATTACCGGTTCGTTTTAGTATGGTAGGAGTTGTCATCGAGATCGAGTGACTTCCGAATGTGTAACTATATTCTAAATCCTTGTTTTTTCTTAGCATGATTTGTTCAGTTGCTAATATTTTATCGAGGTACAATGTGGATTTTTATGAATATGGAATAAATATGTGTCTGTGCTGTTGTGACGTGCCAAAGACGTGATGACTCGATGCGGTACTTTTTTATTGTCACTTTTGCTACACTGTAGAGATTTTCCTGATACAGGCAAAGGCAGGAAGATGTGATGGTGGTGTGTTTTGCCTGGGGCATGTCACACAAGCACTCTTTGAGTGGGTGGTTGGAGGCCGAGGCACGGTAGCCCTCTGAGCGGTGGCCGTCGTCAGTTTTTCATTGGAACCTCTCTTCTGGTCCCTCCCACAGCCTCGTTCGCTGCGGATGATGGGGCGTGTCTGCGCGGCTGCGTGCGCTGATAAACTCATTCTCCTCTAGTTATTAAAATGGAAAACGACTGGTAGGAACAATGTGATACATCTTGCGCTTGCCGAAGTAAAAAAGGAGAAGTGTTAGGACCGGGTACCGCGCCAAGCGCAGCGGACCTGACACGCCCCATCACACGCAGCGAACTAGACCACACCCCTTTTTTCAAAGTAACTAATGGTTTCTCGTCTTAATTGTTCAGAACTGAAGCATGACAAATTGTAACAGTAGGCCCGAACTGCTGTAATAAGAGAACTGCTGATCGAGCTTGATCCGAGTGCGCAGCCAGATTGTGAGCTACCAACTATAAAGCGAAATAGGTGTTTGTGTTTACAGTTGATGAGTCGCTGGCAACCAGGATGGTGAATTGGTCTATCATCGAGTATTGCGGTCTGAGCGTGAATGCGTCATGTGGCTACTGCAAGAACTCGGGACGAAAATCATCTCTAGGTACGGAGAATGGTGTAGAGGACATGGATGATGAGGGCAACTCGGTC